CATGATATTTCAGCTTGTGCACTTGTCTTACTAAGTTATTGGGCATACACATCTTATTTGATTCGCATGGAACATTTGCTATAAATAAGCCGCGTTTACGACTTTAGTTTCCCAATATCATACAGAAAAGTCTCGTTTAAATGGTTTGCACTATACTACTACGATTGCAACTTTAAAAAAAAAACTCGTTATCAACCAATAAATCTTTTTCAAACTACATCCAAAAGAAAACTCTCGTAATTGACCTAATATATCATTTAGGAGATAAACACTTAGCATAGTCCAACATCGTTTTTATATCACCGTCTTAGAAAGAACTTAATAATATCATGTTGATCCGTTTGTCTGTCCTTCCAAACGTCGCATAAAAGCTAGTGATCCCTTTGATTATATTTCATGAAATTTGTATGGAATATTTGCATTGGTGGTATCAAAGTTCGTTTCGATTTTTTTACTAGGGATATTGTCTTTATAGATTTCAAGTATTTTTTTCATATCGCACACTAACTTAAGGTGTGGATCCATGCCAACTCGTACTAAACCAACTCGTACCGGATTTTACCAACTCGTACTTCTATCAACTTGTACCCATTTTTTAGTTGTGTTCATATGCAAAATAGTACAGGTAGTTTTTTTTTATTGTGTAAAATGTTTTAAAATGTTTTTAAAAATTAGAAAAATAGATATGCAAATAAGAAGATGTGCATTGTATGATTGCAAATGACATAGAAGTTTGCAACTATATGTCATCGTACGGCCTTCAACAGTGAGCAAAACCCATACCGCATAGTCGGCTAATAAAGGCCCCGAAATGACAAAATTAAATGTATAACAATTCAAACGAGAAAACTAACGGCCTGATTTATGTACAAAACAATGAACGAAAACCAAATGTGATATACAGCAACAAACGACAAGCACGGAATTGCAGGCTCCTGACTTGGGACAGGCACATATAGAATGTGGTGGGTTTAACTAGTTTGTTGGCGTTTAACCCTCCCTTTAACCTGGGACAGTGGTGTAACAGTATAACATATTAAGAACAAACTATAAAAAAAGAGCTTTTTCGTCAGATCGATACAACGCTGAAAAAAAAAATCAAACAAAAACACAGACCTGACGTGGCAGGGTATTTATACATCCCCGCAACAAAAAGACACTAAGTACAGATCTGAGAGTACTCGCAATTACTGACAGCTAGGTCAAGGCCAATAAAAAATCATGCATCTAAGACTAAAATATCAATCAGTACACATCCAACATCCGATGGATTTAGTTTAAAGACGTCATTAATAGTCAGAGAAAAACACTACCTTGTGCAATGCCAAGATACAGGTATTGTTGACATATTTGTTTGTTTTTATAGTGATTAAGAAAATAACATAAAATTGACTGCTGTTCCTTTATTTTTGACATGTTTACCTATTATGTCTGTGTTGTCAATATAATGGAATTTTATGCAACTGTAATACAAGTTAAAGGTTTGGTGTCTTCCTTTTATTCCCACATGCAAATAACAATAGATGTTTTGATAAATAATTTGTTTTTATAACAATCAAGATTAATTAAAAATCACCTAAGATTTACCTGTATTTTTTAAAGAAAACATATTTCTTACACTGTTTAAGTATAATATTATTTAAAGAAAAATGATAATTTAATACACTGTTTGTTTGTAATATGTTTTTTTCTTCCTCAAAGAATTACTTTAAAATAAAGAATAAGTCAGATAAATAGAAGTAAGATTAAAAAATCATTGAATTTGTAAACTTATAAATTGTCGTCTGAACAAATAAATTGATGATAGATAACATTATACCACAAACTTTCCCATCTTGCAAGATTTCCATGTACAACAAACGCAAGAAGAACCTCCCAATTTTACCAAAAAAACTCTTGATGAAATCAACATGGATGGTATTTGGGCACGTACTATCAAAGGTGACCCATTCCTTCTAGCAGACGACAACACAGTTGGGCGTATATTAATCTTCGGTGCTCAAAAAAGTCTAACACACTTAGCAGCAGCAGATATCATATATGGTGATGGTACATTTTTCTCCTATCCGAGCCTATTCTTCCAACTTTACACATTTCACGCAATGTATCTATAGGTACACAGTTTACTTCCTGCCAAGAGCGAACTCGTATACACAAGGTTCCTGACTTTACTCAAAAGATGTATGACACCAAAACCAACTACAACTTCAGATTACCACTATCTTCCTGGTCTATGAAGTCGCCATCCGAAATACAGCATATTCTATATTTCCTGGCATCAACGCAAAAGGCTGTTTTTTTTCAATACACGCAATGCATCTGTAGAAAAGTACAAAAACAGGGATTCATGTTCCATACAAGGAAGACAACAACATTCACCAACTAGTACGCCGTACCGCTGTCCTTCCACTTGTACCTACTGCTGAGGTCGAAGATGTGTGGTTTAATGCCCTAACCGACAAAGATCAGATTGATACTAACATCAACTACACGCCCTTTACAGACTATGTAACAACATACTGGGTCGAACAGAACAGTCACCTTTGGTTTTTGTAATTTTGTCCTTTCAGATTTGAAAAAAAATCTGTATATACAAATGGCAATCAATTATTCTCGAAACTGTAATTCAGGTAACCTCTTTTTTTTCAAAGTTACTGCATTTTATTATTTATAACCATTTAGGACAACACAGGGACCGAGGACTACACATCATTTAGAGGGATGGTATGTAGCAAGCTGAAGAAACACTTCAAGCACCCACATACAAACATCTTTAAACTCACAAAACTACTGAAACATGAGGAAGCTTTCAACGCCCTGACCATGATCCAGTATGCAGCCGATGGGAAGAGAGTTGCCCCAAAAAAAGTATGTCGAAATCAACAACAGACTGGAAGAGCTTAAGGTTAGAAATCGCAACCAGGAGGTCACAACAGTAGAGTTTGGTGATGCAGCCTCCCACCTTCTTCACGTTGAATAGATTTAATGAACTTTAATAGACTTGTAAGTAAACAGTGAATTTCTAATGCGTGTGCTACAATGTGTGATTTGTTTTAGTGCTGTTAACTTGTATTGTTTGTTTCATATTATAATGCTTGCTTGAATCTACTGTTGAATTGTGTTATAAAAGAAATACAATAATTTACTTATATTTGTTTCCATTTCTTTGATATTTATTTAAACACAAAATTAATTAAAACACAGAATTCATACACATACAAAAATAACCTATTACCTATCAAAAAAAACACGTATCAATTAAAAGTTGATTAAACAATGTTTATACAGTATGATCCTTTGTTTGCACATGTTCCCCCTATTCCCACATGAAATTTTAACTTTCCTTACCATATCTATAAAACGTCGGAATAGGAGAAATGAACCCCTTATCAAATGGCAAAACCAAAAGCTCAAACACATCAAACGAATGGGAAACAACTGTCATATTCCTGACTTGGGACAGGAATTTCCTTATGTAGAAAATGGTGGATTAAACCTGGTTTTATAGCTAGCTAACTTCTGCTAATCCTCCGGTTCATTCCTCCTATTCCCACCATTTTCTACATAAGGAAATTCCTGTACCAAGTCAGGAATATGACAGTTGTTTCCCATTCATTTGATGTGTTTGAGCTTTTGGTTTTGCCATTTGATAAGGGACTTTCCGTTTTGAATTTTCCTTGGAGTTCTGGTATTATTGTTATTTTACTTTTTTTATCAAACGACCATTTAATTAAATAAGAAAACTTTTGTTTGATAAGATTGTGGGGAAGTGTAGTGTAAAGTCAAAACTGTCAACAGAATCTAAAAGACCATCAAAAGCACGTAATTCATCTAAAACATAAAAAAAGGATTATTTTTAACACTCCAAAAATAGTTAATTCCACTATTTTCATATGTTTTATACAAAAGTTAATGGTGATGTTGAGATGAAATTATATTTATAAAATATACTAATTAGTGATCATTATACGACGGACCTATTAACTGAATAAATGGGGGTTTATAAAAAAAAACATAAAGAAGTACAGCACTTTGAATATTAAAATCCTTTAATTGAGGTTTACTTTTAAAGTCACCGTTTTCACCGAAAAGAAAAAAAAAATATGGCTTGAAAGTTTGACATTTTAAATTCAGTTTAGGCCATTATTTTCTATTCTGTAAATTCCATTCAGACCCTCATGCAAACTATACATATCTTGGACAATATCAATCATAAAATACAAAACAACCATTGATTTTACAATTTACCTAATTAAATGATACATAACAGTGCTACAAAAAATGGATACGAGTTGGTAAAAGTACGAGTTGGTAGTACATGTAGTACGAGTTGGTAAAAATATGAGTTGGGTGAGAACGAGTTGGCAAAGGTACGAGTTGTCGTATACCCTAACTTAGTAAGTATGCTTGTGTTTATTTACTTGGGAACTTACGCTGATGTTGAAAATAATAAAAGTAAGCTCTCTTTCAATTTGAATGCCCTGCCTACGATTGTCTTTTCCCATACCACCAATACTGTTACAGTTACAATGTATGTGCGACTTTTCCCGATTAAACCTGAAATGAAGCACACATTTTTTAAACACCTTGTATATAAAGAATTATCCAAAAAATTGTCTTTCACTCGATTAATTTTGGGGAAACAAGGGTCCTATACTTGTTTTAATCTTGATCTGATTAGAAGTTACAAAATCAGTTAGGGCCGTTCATATCACAGTAAAGCTGTTCGCTATTGATATTTTGTATTTGTCATTGAGGGTATTGATCTAATTTCGATTTTGACTTATATTTCCAATAAAACAAGAATATAAAGTCGTTTTGCCTTTGAAAAGCCATATTTTGTAAAATTAGTCTACGATTTTACTTTTGTGATCGAACTTGGGGAAATATGATTCCACCGTTGTGTGTACCCGCTACATAAATTTGTGTAATACAGATATATTTTTAACTCGATTAGTTTATATATTGGGAGCTAGTCATGCATTCAGTTACAACTTTTTTAATAACATTTAAATTTCACGACTATTGTCTTTTGTATGGAATAACAATCGGACTTCCCGTCCAATAGCACTAGAGCACAAGACCATAACAAACCCCTTATCAGATTTCAGATACAATATTCTATTTTCAACTATACCCGTTTGTCATTTAAACCACATATGCACATTCATGCAGGGAATTAACTAGTTAATTCAAGTTTTTATGTACTAATTTATTTCCATGTACCAAAATGGAATTAAAAATTTCATTAATTTTTGGATTCATTGGTTTTCAGGTAAGCTTTTTTGCTTTTTCTATTGTGTTTATTTTTACTTTGATGACCACATGTGTACGTATATTGCGATAGAAAGAAGGGACAACGCCTTTATTGCATAACCCGGAAATAGTTTACCGGCTAGCTGAAGTTAAGGTTGCGAAAATAGATAAACATGTCCGTTTGTTTAATAGTGTAATGTTTATTCTAATGTATAACAATTATTTATTTAGTTTGCAACTTCAGAAAATCATATACTTGTTCAACTCTCCCATATTCATGCATGCAATTATTCTCTGCAATTATTTATATATATTTAAACACAGAACACAGAACACAACTCTCCTTTAAAAAGAGTAGAAGAAGCCTTTTTATATGTATTTCAAAAGACAAAATAATATTGATAAATGTAGGGATTTTCAAAAAGACACCAAGTAATTCTCAAAGATTTACTTTCTTGTCAGGTTCCTGATTCCTTCATTAAAGTATCATGCCTATATTTAAAATGCAAAGTCTTGGATCCTCCCCTGACAGTTACACATTGAATATATAAACACGAATTATCTGCACGCAAGATAAGATTAATGATATGATATTTTGATGAAGGGAGAATGAACATGTCAAGAAAGCTCATCTTAGAGAATGGACTGGTGTGAAAAAGAGGCGAATGCCTATAACCCACGCAAATCCAGGACAGAGCCCTCGTAGGAATACACAGGGCTCCACCCTTAGAAGCTCTTGATATTTCAGGATAATCCAGTTGTTTTTATTTTCGTTTTCATTTCTTTTAATTCTTTTTATCTGCGTCGCCAAAGGCGAAAGCAGGTCTAGTAACCGAGCGACTCTGTCCTCCCGTCCGGTAGTAAACTTTCGTCAAAGTTTTTTGGCTTCTATGAAAGGGAATGATTTAATATTTGGTCTGCAGCTTTATAATGTTGAGTTATATATTGTGATTAAGCAATTTTTACATCTGTCCTGTTGTCACTTCCTGTTTGCCTATGCTTTGATATTTTACAACACTTTCGTCAAAGTTTTTGAAGGAATGATTAATGATTTGGTCTGCAGCTTTATAGTGTTCAGTGGTAATGATTAAACAATTTTTACATGTGTCGTGTTGCCACTTCCTGTTTGCCGATACTTTGAAATTTTACAACATTAATTGTACAAGGAAAATTTTCGTCAGTTTTCTTGGCTTTAGTGTCGTTTGTACTTGCAACAAATACTTTGACCGTTATGGGATCAAACGCCCGCCTAGCCACCGTCTCCTGCCTTAATCCGTCTCTGACTATAGACTGGTCTTAGATTCTACTTTTTTTGAGAATGATTGTTTGATAACAGAAAGTTGTCCGTGTGTATCATACTCATGTAGACATTATTGATCCCTCATCAGCAACAGTTTTGAAGTATCATTCATTGATCGTAGTTTTGTATACGTGGTCATTGATTTAAGCGGAGTTACAAGAGGTAAACACCGTCATAGTTGATATATTATCACTACAAACCAGTAAAAGTCTGAAATGCCCTATATTTGTACTCGACTGAACTGATTTTTACTCGACCAGTCTGAATTGGTCTGAAATTTACTTGATATTACTCGACTGTAGTCTGAGCCATACTAAACAGTCTGAACTTGTACTCGACCTTTACTCGACCAGTACTTAACCATTTTATACGAGTCTGAACCATACTCGACATAGTCTTAACCATTCTCGACCAAGTCTGAACCATGCTCGACCTAGTCTGAACCATACTCGACCTAGTCTGAACCATACTCGACCAAGTCTTAACCAACCTAGACCTATTTTTTGTATCTATCTATATTATTTTCTCATTAATTTAGGAACTGTTATTCATATATATATATATATATATATATAAAATGTATATCACATTTAAAATTAAAATAAAACAAGGTGATCAAATTTCTGGTTGGATTAAAAAAATATCATGTAATAAATTAAGTTCGTTAAATGAATTTTCGGTAAACGGACAGAAAGTCACCGGACAAAAAGTCACAGGACATAAAGTCACAAATTTGATAGGACAAAAAGTCACAGGACAAAAAGTCACAAATAATGTGTTGACAATTGTTTGAATATATAAGAGAAAGATATGCTCGACCTAGTCTGAACCATACTCGACCTAGTCTGAACCATACTCGACCAAGTCTTAACCAACCTAGACCTATTTTTTGTATCTATCTATATTATTTTCTCATTAATTTAGGAACTGTTATTCATATATATATATATATATATAAAATGTATATCACATTTAAAATTAAAATAAAACAAGGTGATCAAATTTCTGGTTGGATTAAAAAATATCATGTAATAAATTAAGTTCGTTAAATGAATTTTCGGTAAACGGACAGAAAGTCACCGGACAAAAAGTCACAGGACATAAAGTCACAAATTTGATAGGACAAAAAGTCACAGGACAAAAAGTCACAAATAATGTGTTGACAATTGTTTGAATATATAAGAGAAAGATCTTGAAATATTTTCTTTTTATTACATATATTCATTTTTAAGTTTAGGAAATTGTTCATAAGCCTTGATAAATGAAAATTTATTTAATTTTAATCATGCAAAGGATATATTTCTTGGCACAATGAAGCCATTTAAGTACCAAGCCACTTTGACATTTTGTTTTCATAACAATTATTTGATCATTATTGATATTTATTGAATAAATTTTAATTACAAAGTTGCTTCATATATAATAGTTCCAAGAAAAAACAAAAAAAATATTTTTTAAATTAGTGTTTCCTTGTTAAAAGAAAAATAATCTCAAAACTGAATTGTGACTTTTTGTCCTGTGACTTTTTGTCCGTGACTTTTTGTCTGTGACTTTTTGTCCTGTGACTTTCTGTCCTACATTCGAATTTTCATATACATGATATCATGTTCACATTGATTTATGCATCAAAAATACTATAACTTTCAACCATTATTCAAATATCTTAAATGTTATTCAATTTTTTTTTTTATCAAAATATATATAAAATAGTATATAAAGCAACTTAATGAATGTTAGAATTGACACCTTTGTTTTGTAAAATCAAAAATTTAATATAATGATAATAATAAAACTTTCATCTTTTTATCCTTGATAACCTTTTAAAAAAGGAAATGTATTCCAAAGTTGCAGTAGAAATTTATTTTAATTAAATTTAAATACGTTTTGTCAAAATTAAAGACATGGCATACAAGAAGCAGTTTAATAAGGTTTAATGGTTTAATTACCTCGGTACAGGTGTTTTACAGGTAAAAAGAAAACCATATTTTTCTTAAACTCGTGTATTACTTATCTAGTGAATTCAAAGGCCTTGTTATTTAAGTTTTACAGGATGTTGTAATTTTCAATGGATGTTATTTAAAATTTATTACTCTCTGACCAGGTGTGATCTTTTTAATCAGTGTGCGTCAAGCAGGATGTATTACTTTATAGTTTACCCCTAATCAGAAGAAAAATTTTATTCATTTCTTGAATTTTTTATCCCTTTTAAAATATATATATATCCCAAATTATGAATAGGAATAGATATATTTCTGATATAAGGTTAAACAATGTCAGTGATTTTGTTGGCTGTTGTTACCTCATTAAAATGATAGTTATATAACTATTGTATATAACCATGAAACCTAAGTACAGAAAGTCACAGGACAAAAAGTCACAGGACAGAAAGTCACAAATTTGATAGGACAAAAAAGTCACAAATAATTTGTATATAATTGATTGAATATTTATGAGAAAGATCTTGAAATGTTTACTTTTTATGACACATATTCATTTTACAGTTTAGGAAATTGTTCATAAGACTTAATTTGATAAATAAAGATTTATACAATTTTAATCATGCAAAGGATATATTTCTTGGCACCATGAAGCCATTTAAGTACCAAGACATTGTAACATTTTGTTTTCTTAACAATTATTTGATCATTATTGATATTGTTTCAAGAAAAATACAAAAATGTTTTTTTAAAAATAAGTGTTCTATTGTTCAAAGAAAAATAACCTCAAAACTGAATTGTGACTTTTTGTCCTGTGACTTTCTGTCCTACATTCGTTTTTATTTAGGAATTTAGGAAAATCAAGTTTTGTTTAAAAAAAAAACACATGCCAAACAAAAAGCACCTTATTTTTAATAAGATTTTATTACCCTCAGTATAGGTGTGGTTTTCAGGTAAAAAAGTCTTTTATTTAACAAGACTCAGACTTTAAAATTAGATAATTTAACTATCTCGATTTGCCAAATCTAAGAGAATCATGTATTATTAAAGAATGTAAAAAATGTTTTTATATATATCTTTATTTAATTGTGGCTGTTGTCATGTAAGTTAAAGAGAAAGTTATTTAAACAATCAAAATTATAAAGAAGAGGTTATTTGGTCAAGTATGGTTCAGACTGGTCGAGTATTGTTCAGACCTTTGGTCGAGTATGGTTCAGACTGAAAAAATAGGTCGAGAGCTGGTCGAGTACTGGTCCGAGTACACAGTTATCGTCCGAATAAAGTCCCTAGTGTGGACAGTGTGTTGCTTGCCAATTTTTTTAGTACCCCTTCCAAATGTATTCCTTCATGTTTTATGCCTCAAATAGCAAGTAGGGGGATGAAATTATACTATAAAAAAATTTGGGTCATGAATTGTAAAGTTAAGTAGTGATTTGGTCCAGCTGAAAAAGGTTAAAAATTAGCACTTCGGAAGCTGTCAAAAGATTTCAAGACCCCCTTAACATAGAATTGTCCATATTTTGAGTTAGAGCCGATGAAGTTTTCTATAATTTTGATATGATTTGTCCCAAAAGTAGTACAACACACTGTAAAAATATTATTGAGAAAGCGCAGGTGGGATTTTTTTTATTTTCATTTATTGTCTAAAAGAAATGCACTACGAAATAACTGTGTACTCGGACCTACTGGTCCAGACTGGGTTAAGACTGTTTCAGACTGGTCGAGTAATAGTTTAGACTATTTTCAATAGCAAAGATAAGGGTCAAGTACAAATCAGTACAG